CGGGGGAGGCGGGGGAGCGGGGGGGGGGGGGGGGGGGGGGGGGGGGGTCCAGTCTTCCTGATTTCGGCCAGTGCTAAGTCACTCCTCTCCACCTCCCGGACCAGTTAACAGAGACAGGCACGCAGGCCGGGCTCCGAGTCTGGACAGGCTTCCAGGCAGCATGGCAGGCTCACCACAGGCGGGGCGGGACAGGCCAAGGACGGAGAAGGTTCCTGAGCCACAGCAGGGCCCTCCTTATGCAGCCCGGCCTGCCCCTGGCCCCACAAATGCGCAGTCCTAGGCACACATGCACGGGCGCGTACACACACACACACACACACACACACACACACAGTCACTCACTCCTATCCGTCTGGCACACTGGTGATGTCGAGGGATCCAGTAGGAGGTGGAGGCATCCTGGCCCCAGACCTCCATGGCCTTGAGCGCCAGGCGCCTCGGCCAGCGGGGAGCTGAGGCTGTAGTGGGGAAACGGGGCAGATGGGACGACACAGGGACACTCCCTACAACAGTTTCGACAAATACCCTTTAACAAGAGGAAGGGGTTTGGGGGAGGGGGGATGAGGAAAGGACAATAAAAGAAGTTTCATAAAAATCCTAAGTCAAATCATGATAAAACTGCAGACTGAGCACAGGTTCAAGAGCATCTGCTCCCTCCTCTGCATGCCCTCCAGACCCCGGCCCTCCCTCCAGGCGGCCAGAGCCAAAGGCAGGAGTCAGCCTCTCACGAGGCCCCTGCTCCGCGAGCCGAGGAGGAGGGAGGCAGCAGTGGGCAGCCTGTGTCTTCATTTAAAAAACAGATTCAGGTCGAGAGTTATTGCTTGTCCTCCAGCAGAGAAGGACGGGCTGAGCGGTCAGTGAGCGAGGGCCGCAGCCTCCAGGGCCCGAGCCTTCTTCCGCCTCTTCAGAAGCAGAGGGTTGGAGGCATCTTCTATCTTTTTTATCTTGATCTGCTCGTAGTCAACACGCATTGTGGCCAAGGCACTGGTCATCTCCTCCTGGGGGAAGGGTTCCACCAACAGAGATGTGAGAGACATAAGTAAAGGTAGAGTGAGCCTGGCAGGGGTGGCTCAGTGGTTGTGCATCAACCTACGAACCAGGTCACAATTCAAATCCCGGGCAGGTGCTGAGGCTTGATCCCCAGTGGGGGGCGTGCAGGAGGCAGCTGATCGGATTCCCTCTCATCATTGATGTTTCTCTCCCCCTCTCCCTTCCTCTCTGAAATCAATAAAAATATATTTAAAAAAACAAATAAAGGCAGGATGAGGGCAACCAGAGCAGAGACAGAAGCGGCAGGCTGGCTTGTAGGTCCAGGACCAAAAGCGGCCTCAGCCCTGGGCTGGGTCAACTGAGTCGCCTCCGCTGCTGCCGCTCTCTGAGAGCCCTCCAGGGGCCCCGCAGGAAGAGCACTGGCCAAGGGGTCAGGAGACCTGGGCCTGGTCTGCCCTGGCCAGTCATTAGCTGTGTGACCTTGAACAGGTCATTCCCCTCTCTGGGCCTGTTTCCTCATCTGCAAAATGAGAAGATAGTACCTCTGAGGCCCTTTTAGAGACCCAGGGAATAGAGAGCTTGTAGGAAACAGCCCCCCGAGTTTAGGCCGGAACACACTCCTCTGCCCCAACCTGGTCGGAAAGTGGCTCAGACTCGCTGTTCTTGTTGTAACAGAAACCTCTGGGTGAGAGAATGCAGAACCAAATCCTCCCCGGCCAGCACCACCTGGCACCCCCGCGCCCTCTCGGCCCGTGGTTCCTCACCTTGACATCCTCCCACCGCTCCTTGTCCTCCTTCAGGACCCGGCTGGTGTGCAGTGGGGTTTGAGGGACCTTTGTTGATTGCTGAGGGGAGAGAACAGGGTCCAAGTGAAACCTGGGCTGGGCAGAGTCCTGGCTAAGCCCTGCCCCCAGGGACAGTCCCCCAAGACCCAGGTCTCTCTGACCGGCCGGCCGGGCTCACCATGATCCAGGGGTGGTTCATGAACTCCGTGATGGTCATTCTCTGAGTGGGCTCTGTTTTCAGCAGGTTCCGGATGAGCATCTTCACTGTGGGAGGGACACAGACAGTCAAGGCCCCGCTCCCTCTCCTGCTCCTTCCCACACACACGCACGCACACACTCGCACACACACGCACACACTCGCACTCGCATACACTCGCGCGCATGCGCACACACACTCGCGCGCGCACACATGCACACGCGCGCACACACACACACACTCACACATATGGCTCTTTACCTTCCTCTGATACTTCTGACCACTCTGGGTTGGGAAACTCATACTGGCCCATTCGGATGCGCGTCTTCATGCCCGGAGAGATGGCAAGGCCATGGTTGGAATAGAACGGTGGGTACCCACACAGCCTGAGCCGAGGGAAGCAGAGAGATGGACAGAGCTGGTGTTATTTAGGGGCCCTGCACCAGGAACAGGGTGAGAAGCAGACTTCTTGTAAAGGTCATGGGGAAACAGGGACTGGTTGATTCAGGCACGGTACAGAAATTCAGGACAAGGCCCTGATTCCTACATACCAAGTACCTAAACCACACATTTCCCCGCCCACCGGCTAGTGTACAACCATCACTTAGCTCTCAGATCCACTAGCACTGAGGGAGGGGGGCGTGCAGGAGATTCCCAGGGAATCCCCAGCCAGAAGGGAAATGCTAACCCTCACCTCTTCCTCTCGACCCAGAGAGGAGCAGGCTTCCTCCCACCTCGGCCCCGCCCCGACCTGGGGTCCCTCCCGGCACACTCACAGGATGTACATGATGACACCCAAGGACCACATATCACAGGACTTGTCGTACTTCTCTGGGCCCAGCACTTCTGGAGCTGCAAACCAAAGGTCAGTGTGGATGGGCCTGGCCCTTGGACACGCAGATCTACCCCAGTTTCTCTGTGGATGATGCTCCCAGCCCAGCCCATCAGCCCGTCATGATGGGACTGTAGCTGCGGGAGGGAGGGGAACAGCCATAACCCAGCCGCAGAGCTGAAGGAGGAGAGCAAAGACCCTCCTCCCAGTGGAACTTAGGACTAGAATCTTAAGATAAGGTAATTCTTGGCAAGAGCCTTTCAGACGCACGATGTCCACTGACTTTGACAAACACATTTGAGAGTTTATCCTGTGCCAGTGAGCTGGGCGCCAGAGCCAAATCTGAGCACCAGACCACTGGGCATCTGATGGAGGTGACAGCTCCTCTTGGGAAAGTGCCCCTGTGCACAAAACCCTGCCGCGACCTCAGATAGTGTCCTAGGACACCCCAACCCCAGCACATCTCTGACGAGCCCTACACCATTCAGGTCACACGGAACCAGCGCCACACAGGGCCAGAGGACATGCCTCTCCTGGGGCCTGTGGCTCCAAGGCCGGAAGAGGACAGTTCGACAGAAGCTCAAGGGAAGGACGAGCCTGGCCCCCCTGGACTTACCCACATAATAAGGCGTATAACAAGGAGTGGTCAACGAGTTGTGGCTGGTGGTTTCCTTGGCAAAGCCAAAATCGGTGAGTTTCAGGATGGCGTTGGGCCTTTTGGAGGTGTATAAGAGGTTCTCGGGCTACAGAGAGAGGCAGAGAAACAGCACTCCTGCATGAGGGCTATCAGAGATCAAAAGGGTAAAGATGACTTCCCTCCCTCCTCGCCCACAGCCATCTGTCGGGCCCCAGTGATCTGCACACCATCAGCCATGACCAGCTCCCTGCCTTCCCGGAGCTTGGAGATAAGAGGCTAATGACAGAACCAGCAGTGAATCCACAGGGCAGAGAAACCACAGGTGTGGCTGTGCAGTGCTGCCTGAGGACCACAGGGCTTCCGACTGGGTTTGGGGGTTTGCCCAGAGAGGGCAGGCTCTGTGGAGCAGAGAATAGCACCCTGTCCCACCCTACCCCATCCTGCCGTCAGGAACCAGGCAGCAAGGGGGCGGGCAGGACGACTCTGGCACCCCTTCCGTGGGCCCTCAGCAGCACCTGAGTTGGGAGGGGGCGGGGTGATGAACAGCTGGTACCTTGACATCCCGATGAGCAATGTTGATTGAGTGCAAATACTGAATGGCCTCACCGATGCTCTTCATGATTTCTGAAGCTTCTGTGGAGGAGAGGAAAGAAAGTCACACGGTGTGTCATTAGGGTTGCAAACTCAGCCACCCGGGCTCAGCGGAGGACGGCAGCCCTGGCAGCAAGCTGGAGGAGGCGGGAGCCTCAGCAGGCCTCACCGAGGGCAGGCACTGCGGAAGGTCCCCTTCAGTCACCCGCTGCCCTGCCTGCCCGAGGCCTGTCGCGCAACAGACCCTTTCTACCTCTTTCTGTGAACGCCTGGTCTCCTCGGTCCTGGATTCGGCTGAAGAGTTCTCCACCATCCAAGCTGAAACAAAGCCATGGTCGGATCTCGAGAACACACCCCACCACTCTCCATCACCCCCACCCCCGAAAAATCCGTGAGGGGCCTGGGCAGGGAGTGGGAGGCGGGGCCAGGAACAGATCCGCAGGCTGCTTACCACTCCATGACGATGAGCAGGCACTTCCTCCCCGCGTACAGGTTCTCATAGACGTCCACGATGCGCACGATGTGTGGGCACTGGGAGGCCCGCCAGTGCAGCTCCACCTCGCGCCGGGCCTTGGGGCAGTCCTGCAGCATCTACAAGGCAAACAGCCGCCCGAATCACTGCGCTGTCTCAGGAGGGGGCAGCTGGCTGCTGCCCCACATGGGCCTATTCCAAGGCCCTGCCACATGCCGGCTGGCATCCCCACCAATGCGCCATAAACTCCCCACTACCAGTGACCCCCTACCAAGCCAGTCTCCTTGGCATTTTCCCTGGCAGCTCCTTCTTCTAAATGCCGACTTGGAGCTTTTTAGCTCCCTTGTCTGCTCTAAAAGAAACCCCAAATGACCCCTTGGGGCCTTGACAGTCTACCCAACTAAAGGCATAGAGTCTATTGTAGGAGGCAGGCAGCAGCGAGGCACTGAAAGACGGGGATAAAGAAGGTCTGGGAGCAAGACAGACTGGGGAAACCCAATCCAATATGGAGAAACTCAAGAATTTATAAGCAAAGGTACCTCCACGACCCCTCAAACCCAGCACACCCCAAATCCTGAGCAAGTCCTTTCTACCTGTGATACTTCATTCAACCAACAGGTGGCCTCGGGGTCAGCGCAATGTATTTAGAATCCAGGTTCCTATGAGGTCTGCGACCTTGAGCGAGTTATTTACAGCACCAAGCCCCATTCACATCCCCCCTTCTTTCATGGGCCAGGTGGCCGGGGGCATTAAAGGAGCCTGGATCTCACATGCGTCTCTCATGAGTCTCAGGGGCTGAACCTTGACTAGTCCAAGTCAGTCTTCTTATGTCCAGGCCCTTCACTAGTGACTGGCTTGGGAATAAGCCTAAGACCAATGTCGGCCAAGAACTTTGTAGGAAATCTGCTGAGAGGCCTCTTAAAGGGAGCGCAGGGATCACACATCACCTCTCCCACATATGGCACCTGGGACCGAGGCAGTCACCTTCGTGCCACAGGGGAACAGCCTAAGAGGATGAGCCAACACACTGAGGAAGACAGCCAGGAGAGGTGGCACCTGCCTGGATCCTTGCTGATACCACCACACGTCCCTCATGGCTTCTTTGTGGTAAGGGACATCCTGACACATCCCTTTATAAATGGGGATAAACCTGTTGTGAGGATTAAGTGAAAAAATCCTGCACGATGCCTCGCAGAGCGCCTGGCAGTGCTCAGTAACAGTAGTCGTCATTCTCATTACAGAATGTCTGCCAAGTGCACAGTGCAGATGCCAAAATAATTAAGATAAGGACCCTCGCAGACTGACCAACTGTGGGAAGTCAAGATTAGCGCTACAGTACATACCCAACTTCTTTGGGCATTTAGAGGGCTGGGGTGGGAGGAGGCAGTCGGGCTAAGCAGGAAATGGACAGGCAGAAGGGGAGGCTGACAGCAGAGGAAAACAGCGGGAATCAGGGCTGACCAAGAGGGAGCGGAGCGGGGCTGGGGGGCGAGCTAAGGCACCTGCTGGAAAGTGGGTGAGGCTTGGTGAGTAGGATCAGACGGCCAAGATGGAGCGGATGAGAGGGGGCGCTGAAAGGCAAACGCCGGGATTTCCAACAATAAACTAGCACTCCTCTATGCTGGGGTCCATGATATGCTCGGCCTTTTCTAATTTTACAGTAATCGCCATGTTACAGGGTGAGGAAACCGAGGCTCAGAGAAACAGTGGGTCCCAGGCTCAGATTCGGGGAAAGGCAGAGCCAGGGTTGGGATCCAGGGCTGGTGGGTTGCAAAGCCCACGCCTTTTGTGCTGTCGTACACTACGCGACTTTTAGAGAAGAGATGGAGGTCAAGACTTGTCAGTCTCAGACCGCCAACTGCAGGCGGACTGCAGAGGCAACAGGTGCCCAGTTAGTTCAGTCTTGAGCAGGCAAGAGGCAAGGTCCCCATGGGGTCACACTGTCACCTAGTGGCCATATGAGGACACTGCACAGGCCCTGGGTTCTGCCACCCTCAACTTCATTCATTTGGATGGACCAGGAAAAAAGTGTATTTTCCTTTCCCGAGCTCTATGCGGAGTAGGAGGCGGCACTGGCTGACTTTATGTGCATGTAGCAATTCCACAAGCATTCAGTGAGCTCCTACTATGGGCTGCACATTGTGCTGGATGGATGTCAAGACCAAATAGAAGGCTCCTGATCTGAATGAACTCGGGCTGGGGGTGGGGGACGCACTAGGAAGGTGGACAGAAAATACTTAAAACCCACTGAGATAATGTGCTGTAAGACTGAAAAGTTCAAAGGATTCAGGAGCAATTGTTTTCAGAGCAGCCAACCGGGAAAGACCTCTATCGCCCCCTACAGGCACATAGGAGTTAAGGCTCAAAGAAGAAGAAACAAAGTTGTCAAATTACTCAGAGGCAATATGAGGTCATGGATCAATTTCTGGTTGCATCATAGCCTTGCAGAGTTCCTTACCTTTCTATGTCTGTTTCGCAGCTGTAAGTTAGGGGAGCTAATCCCCACCTGACCTCCTCCCTCCTAGAGCCACTGTAAGCAACTAATGCAATACTGCCTCTGAGAGTGTTTTGTTATCGCGCACTCATCCCTGAGCCCACAGCATAGCTGCCACCGCACAGGGGCCTCTCCATCACATCTGTGCCGAGGCTGGAGCACGTGGGTTAGCCAGCCCAAGTCATCAGCAGGACTGTAGGCTGGGTTTCTGTCTGTTGCCTGGTGACCACCCCCTGGGAACCAGCTCCAAGCTCTAACCAACCAGAGCTGTGCTAAGTGAAGAAGCAACAAGGCCAAACCCAAGAGCACGCCCCCCAGCCCCTCCTGAAATCAGAGCACACACTCCAAGTTCCTTTCCTTCTGCCTTAGACACGTTAGCATATGTGGCACCAGGCACATTCCATCTCCAGGCTCACACACATTTCTCCAGCTGCAGAGGAGCTGATGGACCTAGTATATAACACACTTGGCCTTGGAATCACACACAATGGGTGTCCCAGATCTGCACGTCCCAGCTTGTGTCAGGGAAGCCAACTACGTTTCTGAAAAGGGTGTCCTCATCTGTCAAACTGGATTCAATTTAACAAAATAAGTACGTGGTGGAAAGGGTAACACTTTTCAATTCTAAGAGAAACATAATCAAATTTTCCCATGAAGACTGGTAACTGACATCCAGGCGCATGCTTATCGGAAGTCCCTGAATGGATATGAAAACCAACGCAAGCAATGAAAGCAAGACCTTCAGCTCAGTCAGGAGGGCAGGCTGGCTGACGTCAGGGCAGAGCCGGGAAGAGCCAAAGAGGCTTGGTGGACAGCTGTGGCGTGCAGAGCGCCTGGAGAGAGGAAATCAAGAATGTGCTAATCTGGAGTACAGGGCTAAGTAAAGAACAGTGGGGAGGCGCCTGAGCTCAGCCAGAGAGAAGGGACAAGGAGAGAAAACAGGATTCCCGAGGTGCTAACAGGGCAACCAGCAGAGATGCGGTGGCAGGTTCAACCAGAAGCCAAGAGGGGACGTGGGGAAGATTCCACCCCTGGGTGTGAACAAGGACACAGCCCCTACAGCCCTGCGGGCCTGAATCTGAAGGGAGAAAGTGTCTTCCCAGTAAAAAGCCATACAGGCTCATAGGCAAGGAATGCCTGGAAGCCTGTGAAGTATTTTAAGCGCATGCTAAACCTGGAACAGATACTGTGACTTCCCTCCTCCCTGCACATTTGCGTCTGAGATTCTCTTGCACTGCAGGCGAGATTGCTGCCTTGTGCTTCATGGGCCCGGCTGCAAGCCCGCCTACCAGTGTGGCAGGGCCAGGGAGCAGGCCACAGGGTCCATTACCTGGGGGGACCTCTAGGGTGAGGGTGGCAATAACGGAGATATGGGACCTCTCCCAAAATATGGTTCCCCGCCTTTCTGTCTTTGCCAGAACCTGGAGGGAGGCAGGACGGTCCCACTTATCTCCCCACCAATTTCCCCGTAAGCGTCCACACGGGAAGACTGGAGCGTGGTCAGCATCCCAAGCCGAGCAGAGCCAGGGCAAAGGGAAGCAACAGGCCGGGCCTGAGGCCTGCTCACCAGCGAGGCAGACATGAGGACGGGAGGAAGAAGCCAGGCTCCACGGGAGCATCCCCTGCACAAGCTCCACCACCACTTCATCCCTTTGTGCCTCAGTTTCCTATCTGTTCAACAGGACAGTAACTACCTGTCCACATTAAACCAATGAACACACACGTGTTATGTGAGTGACCAAGAATGGTTCCTGGAACATGGTAAGCACTGCACTAGGGTTTGTGATGGTTATTCTGCCCCCTCCCCCCCCCACCCCACCTCCCCCACTATTAGAGTCCCCTTGGGGGTGGGGAGTTGCAATCCCACTCCTGCCCACCTCATTTAGGGTGTTAGCACTGGGCAGAGCGGGGGACCCAGAACACAGGGAGGGAAGCAGGCTTTGGCATCCTAGCCCTGAGCTCTCCTGCTCCCTCCCTACACCACCTAAACTGGACAGCTGGGGCGGACTGCAATGTAATGAGGGAGGAAGCCATCCCTTCCCAAGACTGACCCGGTGCCAAGAGTGATGCAAAAGTCGATCAGGCGCTGTGTTGTGGGTGTGCAGTGCTCCTTGTACAAGACAGCCTCTGCACTCCCAGCAGGTTAGCAGGCGCCACCCCCCAACCTGCCCCACATGGAGAGGGCTGAGGCTGACCTGGATGCTTCTCCAGGTCGGAGAAAGGAGGACTTGAGAAGAAGGCTTGCTGCACGGGCGATGGCGCAACCTCAGCACAGAGCAGCCGGACATTAGCAGCCTCAGAGACAGAGGAGCAGGGGGCCTGCTCCCAGGAGTGCTCTGTGTTACTGGGGTGTCTGTGGTTGGAATGGGGAACCCTCACAGCCATGCTCACCCCCACCCCAAGAGGAAGCATCCTATTTTATAAATAGCAAAACTCAGGCTCAGAGGCACTAAGCGATTAGTTCAAGGCCTTTCAGCCAGTAGTCCGTGGCAGGGCTGGAATATGAACTCCATTCTCACTGCTCCCAGAGCCTCCTGCCCACCACCCATGGCAAGGCAAAGGGCACAGATCTGTCCAAGGCTGTGGTACAACAGCCGAAAGTGGGGGCTGAAATGGACATATGCCTTAAAGTGCAAACCCTGGAGCTTGAAATTACTGTTAGAATTTTATCCTCAGGTACTAAAGGTACTAATGGAGCTTTAAGGATGTGTGTGTGTGTGTGTGTGTGTGTGTGTGTGTGTGTGTGTATCCCAATAGTTGTTTGCCTCATCTAGAAACGGCTAACAAGTTCTGTGCCCAGCAATAGCAAGAGATTTATCTATCAATCTATAATCTTTCAGATGAGGCTTCAGAATAATATTTACTAGAAATGGATTCCTAAGTCTCTATTAGCTTCTCAGTCACCATCGTTGTCATTGTCTATTTTTTTCTTTTGCAGCACAAGTTCCAATCTATAATTTCCTTAAATTTATTTATCAAAAAGTATCTGATAGTATGTGGAAGAGCAAGTTACAAAGCCTTATGTACGGTACAGTCCTCACTGTATATTTCTTTATATCTGTGCATATATATGCACATAGATATACATAGTATGTGTGTATATCTATAACAGGAAGAGCATTCATACTCTGTAACATGTTGATGGTAATTATATCTTTATTTAATGGTGATTTATAATTAGTACATGTACTTTTTAAAGAGGCAAAGAAGCTTAGCTCTCCAAATTTTAATCAGAGGCTGTCATCCACACCCCTATATGGCCAGGGAGCAGCTCAGGCTTCCAGGCAGCTCTGCCACGCTACTCGGCCTCACCAAGTCTATGGACCTAGAATCTCGGAGTCCTGAGCAAGAAAGCAGCTCAGGACCTGGGAAGGTGGTAAGGAGAACTGAGTGCAGCTGTTCAGTCTCAAAGATCTTTCCGCCTACACCCGGGAAGCTGGGTCCCCCACAGCCCTGTACTAGTGGAAAGGGAGGTGTGAGCTCACGAGGCCGCAGGACCAGGACACAATGTCCTTACATCGCTTATCACCTCTGCCTCCATCCCTGGACCTGGAGCCAGGGAGGGACATGGGGAGGAGACACAGCACACACAGTACTCGATCTCACCTTCCCAGAATGCCATTCCTCAGCAAAACCTGGGGCATGCAGGATGTGCCACACGCTGGTGTGGGAGGTGCTGGGATGTAACGGAGAACACGACAGGAAGGCCTGTGCCCTCATGGGACTGACACTTTAGTGCGCGGGGTACACAATAAACCAGTGGGTGTGTTTTGTGTGTCTTTTTTAAATTGCACATCGTGCTTTGTGCTGCAAAGAAAATAGGGAGCTGCCACCAAGTCAGCACTGGTGGTGGGGAGTCTCATTCCCCAAATTAGAGCTGCCCGAAGACTGGGAGCGTGCCGCAGGTCCCTTTTCATCCAGCCCAGCTCAGGCACACAGGGGATGACAAACAGCTACGTCTTGGTTGAAATGACGATTTCCCTCCACACCTACTGGGGGTGGGAGTGTGCCCCATTCCGGAACCTTGCAAAGCTCAGTGAGGAGCAACGGATGGTCCTCCCCTAGAAACTGGTCTAAACATACATCTCACAGATTTGTTTAACCTCAGAAGGTCACCATAATAAAAGATACACAGAAGTACACCATTGGGGTCCCTCATATTGCACATATCCCCAAACACTTGGTTGGAAGGTAAAAGCCTCTACTTGCTACTGACTTTCATTCATGTGATGGGGGCAGGGGGGAGTCCACACCCAAAACAAAGCTAAACCTCACAACCGGAAATCCAGTTCCAAAAGCCTTAAACAGCCACGCCACGCTGCCCAGAAGAGGAGCAAGCCTTTCCTGGGGTTCCCGCCCGCAATCTCCAGGACTTCCCGGGGCGGCCACACAGGACCAAGGTTCAATGAACAGGCCAGAGCCTTAAAACTCACACTGTCAATGATAATACTTTTTAAATGTTTGCAACACATGATGGGTAAGAGGCTAACTTAACTCCTGCAAATCAATTGCAAAAGATTAAGGATCCAAAATAAAAATGAGCAAAGAATTCTTATTCCAAAGACAAAGAAACACAGATGGCCAAACGGAAGATACTCGATGCAACTCATTACAAGAGAATGTTTATAAAGACAATGATCACAATTTCACCAGAATGGCAAGATTTCAAAATGTTTGACCAAAAACATAACAAAATAAAACTCCCGAGTTTATGCAAAGATTTGGGAAGGAAAAGGCACTCTCTCATATTATCAGTAGGGAAATAAACTAGTGGATTTTTAGAGGCGTTTGGTCATATGTATCAAAACTGTAAATGTTCGAACCTTGGACCCAGCACCTACCCAGCTGGGAAATCACCCTACAGATGTGTTCCTAAGTGATTTTAATGGCAAAAGGGGAACTGGTAACAACCCACCTGCCCCTAAGGAGCCAATGGGATGCATGCGCCGCGTGCTGTAGGCCTGTGGGAGGGAGGCCGCCCAGCCTGGGGAGAAGGGGTGTTAACGAAGGGCAAGCAGACAGAGAACAGGACACACGTTAGCTTCACGCCAATGTTCTAATTTTTTTAATGGAACGGCATACACATTATGTAATTGACTTTTAAGGTATAATCAGAAAGACACCAAAAGGTTAATCAGTGATTAATTATAAATGGTGGTAAGATAGCTGACAATTTCCTCTTTGGTGTTTTTCTTTTAATTTCCAAAAATAAAATACCAAACAGAATATAAAATACAATCCCATTTGGGTGTTTCGTTGTCATCGTTGTTTTGCTCGTTTTTTAAGGCAGAGGGAGGAAAGATATATGGACTTGTGGATGCTTAAAATTTTTCCAGAGGAATTTACCCCCCAAAAATATGTTAACAGTGTTAACCACTAGGGTACAGTAGATACTAGAGAGAAGACTGTATCTTTTTTCCCTTTTTCTTTCCATTTTATATCTTTCTATTGTTTAAATATTTACCATCTGCATGCATTTTTAATTAAGTCAAGGGTTTACATTCTAACATGCAGTTTGCCTCAGGCCTCAATTTGACCCCTGACCTGACAGTGACACAGTTACATGTGCCCCACTGCAAGCCAACCTTCCTGTAGAGAAGGAGGTGAGCAGGGACGGGAATCCCACGCTGGCCACCGGAAGAAGGGCCTGGTGAACTCTGAGTATGAGGGTAACTCAGTTGATGTAAAGGCCTGGCCATCCTCCTGGAGAATTCAACCAAAATATGATGAAAAGCTGGCCGAAGGTCCAAACCACCACTCCTGACTTACATGGCCGTGAGCACCGAACACAGCGGGCGCGGGCTCTCCCGAGTCTGGGGTGGGAAACTGAAAGACTGGAGCGCACAGATAGTTCTGCTTCTTCTCGCAGATGATTATGACTTCGAAAGAGAAAGAGGAATTTCCATGTATTCTGCACCGCATGTGTCAGGTGCACTTTATATATAGAAAATAAGCGATATGCCAGCCTCCTAAGGACTCTGAAACAGTCGACTGCTGGCTCCACTTACAGGTGTGACCACCAAGCCCAGTGAAGTTACCTGCCCAAGGCCCCCTGCTGGAAAGTGACAGGTCAGACTCATACCCAGTTCAGCCTCTAACCTCCCAGTTCTTTTCTTTTGTTTTCATTACAAAGGAGGCTTTGCCAAACCCTGAGCTGCTAACATCAGTTTACTGTTGCCCTGTCCCATGCTCCTAAATGTCTCCCCTGCCTGCTGTGTCCACTGGCCTCTCCCCAGTTACCTGTGAATCTGTCAGCCCAGCACAGAGCTCGGTGCAGAAGACGAAAAGGGCAGACTGCACCTCAGAACAAAGTTACGGGTGAGGCCTGCAACAGCATCCGAGGCATGGCTCCCTAGGACACAGGGAAGATGGGGGAAGAAGGAAGCACACTCAACTCTCCAATTGGTTTTATGCTAAAACCTGAGTGGCAGGAAGAAAAATGCCACATTCTTTGTAGTATCTAGGTATGACTTTTGAAAATCCAGAGATGGAGAAACTACCAAGAGAAATTAAGTCGGAAGGGGGTCAGGAACATCGCTCTGGCCTACGCAGCCTCCATCAATTTGACCCCGTACAACCGCTAAAAGCAAATTTAAATTTTTAATTGGGAATGACAAATGCCATCTCATCTTCATCACCCCAACTTAAGGAATAAGATTCCTGACAAATACTGGTATACCTAATCAAGAGATCTAATGGGAGGTGAGAAAGTGGAAGAAGAGAAGGGTTGTATAAATCAAGAGGGCGGTATATACACGCACACACAGACACACACTCACATATGCATACCCACCACCCCTGAAAATAATTCCACAGTTCCACTCACCTAAGAGTGAAGGCTAGCCGAGTGAGGACAGAAGGAAAAAGAACCATAAGTGGTAACATATGGAAGAATAATACATGGTCAGGCAAAAGATATAAACCAATCTTTCCAACACAGTTAGCAAAAAAGGCCCAGACATAAGACAGAGCTGCCTAGCGTGGACACAAGGACATCTGAGAAAGAGATGTCTTGCTAAGAGCAGGACACCGGATAAATTCTTGCCTTGCTTTACTAAGAGTTTATCTCTCACACAGCCAACGATGCAAGGAAGGGAACTACAACCCTAAACCCAATTCTGACCAGGGAGCAAAGTCTAGTCAACTGTGAAAAAAAAAAAAAAAAAAAAAAAAAAAACAAAAAAACTTTCATGGTGCGCTGGCCTCTACTGTGGGCAGTTTTGCTGAATAAGCCAAAGAAAAAAAAAAAAAAAAAAAAAAAAAACCAACAACAAAAAACCCACAAAAATAAAATAACTTTAGTTCACAAAAACAATAATAAGAATACCACAATAGGAAGTAACCTTGTTATATTAGAGTTGGAAGGAGGGAAGAAAAAACCTGGGGACAAAAACAATTGGTTAGCCTAGACTTCCAGATGTTGACACAAAGGAACAGATGAACAGGGAAATCCCAAAAGGGACTGCATTTTGAAATATGCCCTGATCTTTAACACGTGGACTATGATCATCTAAAGCACATAATCCCGAAAAAGAAACCAGAAGCAGAAAAAGAAAGAAAGAAAGACAAGAAACCAGAAGCAGACACCCCAGATGGCAAGGCCACAGCACGGGCAGCTCTGATGAGCTCCGAGATTAAGGGATGCATCCAAAGACATGAGCAAACTGCCTGTAGCCAGGACAGACCCAAGAGAGTGGCTCATGAAACAGAATGAGCAGAGCTTGTAAACATGCAAGAACTACAGGAAGAGTGCCTTAAACCTATATGCAAAGCTGAAAGAACCAAGGAGGAAGTGGGCCCCTCACAGAGACAGATTTGGGGGAATGTTCACCTCCAATATGTTCCATTCTTTTTAACGATGAAGGAGAAGGCTCTTCAGACTGGAACAGGCTCCACATGTACACACACATTCAAGGGAAACCTCAAATCCAAGCGAGACCAACTTATAATCACCTGAGGACGACTGAGTTAAAAGAGGCCAATCTTAGAAGAATCACAGAAAGAATCTGCAGGAGGTTCCAGAACCACGGTTGGTTCTGAGATGGGCAATGCCCTGCTTTTGGGCAGTATGTTTCCTCAGCATTCACTGTGCTCCAGGCACCAGACTAAACACTTGAGCATTCCAGGAGGTCACGGCTTAGTCAAGGAAACAGGAACAATATGTAAAAAGAATTGCTGATAAGAAGGACTGCTCAACTTCACATCTGCCTCTGGCGAAGCTCTGGAACAGATCATGAATTGGACCATCACCAACTGGACCATCATGACCTAGCCTGGGTTCCCTGCGAAGCCATGCAAACTAGTCCGACTACCATTTTTAGTAGGTTTACTAAGTTGTAGGCCAAGGGTCGGATCCATTGGGGCTTTGACGTCTATAAAAGTAAATAACTCCTGCCAGACCTTTGGGATGACAAAGAAAAAGGGGGTGTGATGACAAAGCATTTCGATAATACTTGCAATTGTTATAAATGACCAATAACAATGTGTTTCTTAATGGATCTAGGACAGGCTGAACATGCACCAAAGTGAACTCACTGCTCCCTCTCACTTGCTCCCCAGTCTCGGTCAATGACAATGACATCACCATCTAGCCAGGCTGTCAGATATAAATCTTGAATCATTCATCCTCAGCCTCTCTCCCTCCCACACCCGCTGAAGCAATCTTGGAAAGATCTCCCTCACCCATCTCCCCTTTTCTGCCACTTGCTTGGTTCCCTTTGCTCTTGCGCGTTTTCTAACTGATTTCTAGATGGTACGTAATCTGTTCCAACACATCCCGGGTCAACTACCAAAAGGAAAATCTGAGTAGGACATTTTCTTCCTTAAACATGTCCATTGGCTAACAGGATAAAACCCAAATTCCTTCATGTGGTCTTCCTCAGCTCCCATCCATAATATCTGTGCCTTCACCTCCCAACACACCCCCCTACTTAAGCTACACTGGACTTCGGGGTCCTCAAACAAGCCAAGTCTTTGCATCCTTCAAGAACCAGTGCACTGTCAGCTCCTCTGTGAAGCCTCCCTGACAGTGACTTGCAGGCAGTCAGCCCCTCTGTCCTCTCGCCTCGCACAGGACTCTTGTAAAACTCCTACTCTGGCACTCACGAGTATATTTACAAGACTGTTCCTCCCCTGCTGGACAGACTGTGCCCCTGGGAGGCTGGAACTGTCTTACTCACTTTTTGATTCCCAATCCCAGGCCCGAACATGGCATCAGGACATACTCAATATTTGCTTGTTGGCTAAACCCAGAGAAAACCTCCAGTGACAAACCAAGAAATGCCATCCTTGGCTTTGCCTAATAGTTAAGCAACAAGTTGGTTGAAGGCAGAGTGGACAGCAAGCTAATCAAACTTGCAAGTGACCAAAAAAACACACTCCAGCGAGTAAAAATGTGGGCTATAACTAACCCAAAACAAGGTCATATGTTAGGTTCAAAAAGATAATCTACAACAGCTTGTGATGAAAGACCTTTCTCAAGTCAGATCCAGGTCACAGAGAGGGTGAGTGAGAGCAAAGGTCCTGCAGCCAGCTGCCTCTTGAGTCGCAGTTCCTCCAATGAGCTCACCGTGGGAACCTGAAGTGCCTTAACCTTCTTAAACCTCCTGTTTCCTCCAAGATAACACAGAGATAACAGTACCTACTTCACAGGGTTGCTGTTTAGCTAATAATAATAATAATGGATTTGCCATTAGAATTGTGCCTAGCTCAATAAACTCTACTACTATTTTTCGCTGCTGTTGTTTTGTTGTTAAAAGATACTTCTAAGAAAAGATGAGCTGTAAATCATTGTGGTTAAAAGCAAGGGCCTGGAATTAGACCATCTCAAGTTCAAATGCCAGCTCTGAGCTTAGTAACTGCCTGACCTTAGGCAGGTATTTCACTTTCTCGTCACTGTCTTCATACATTAAATGGAGCTAATGATAGTATCTGTCAGAGAGATTCACTACAGCAGTCTTTCAAATGGGGGGAAAAGTGGAGATAAACTAAATATCCATTACTAGAAAAGGGTTGAGTAAATTATGGTATATCCATAATGGTGCATAAAATAATATGCAATTATAAAAAAGAATGAGGTAGATCTATATATACTGAGATCAAAATTTCTCCAAAAAACTATATTCTTTTTTTTTAATGTTTTTATTGCCCTGGCGATCTAATCATCAATAAGGAAAAATAACATTGTTCCATGACCTTGAAAAATTATTGCCAAAACATTAAAAACTCTCTTACTGTCAGTTATAAATGAAGAGAAATGAAAAAATAGTAAAACTAATATTTATCTAGTACACTGTGATAAAAAAATATTAGAGACACTGAGAATGAGTTTTGTTTCTTTGTAAAAACGTTATCCAGTGTGAAGAGCGCTTGCCTTGCCACCTGCGATGCAGATGGAGCATCATTTCTGTGTCTGCAGACCGTCACACTCCTTTCTCAGTTTGGATCAGTTTCCAACGTTTCCTCCTTTGCACTTTCAATGTTGCAAAATAACCTCCAAGAGTGTCCTCAACATGAAGTTTGTTCCCAGTGTCACTTCCTCTGGGATTACTTCATCTTTCCCGTCACAACCACTCAAGTCAATGAGTTTGCCTTCACTGAGTTCCTCTGGCTGCATACGTAGTCTTTCTCTTTTTTTAATATTTTTTATTATTATTGATTTTAGAGAGAGGGGGAGGGAGAGAGGGGGAAGGGGGAGAGACAGACAGACAGACAGACAGACATCGATCAGCTGCCTCCTGCACATACCCTGACTGGGGATCGAGTCCAAAACCTGAGTATGTGCCCTGACCGGAAATCAAACCAGTGACCTTTCAGTACATAGAAGATGCTTAACCAACGAAGCCACACTGGCCAGGGCTGCATATATAGTCTTGAACGGTGGCAATGTCAACATTCCTACAACCAGTTATTTGTTCTATAATTCCATTTATGCTCAGTTCAAATTTCACTTCCAGCATTACCACTTTCCATTTCTTGGCTGACACTTCATCCTTTTGGCCAAGTCCCTCTTCTGATTATCTAATTTTATAAAATGTCACACGAGTTTACCACTGGGAGACAAGGAGGCAGCACAACTGCACACTTTCCTGTCTATATGGCAAGTATAAGTAAATAATATTGCTATTATTTATTAATTAATGCAATAAATGCCATTAATATTAGAGGGTCTAGATGACTTCAAGCTGAATAAGTATCTTAATACCACCTCAGACTTGTGGTATTTTTTTTACAAACGTTAACTCACTAACGCCAGGATATGGCTGCCAAAAAGTTCACATCACCTTCAACTCCCTGA